AACCAGCTGGAGGACTTGTCAGTTGCTGTGTTGAGTAACCCAGTAAACTCTCATTAACTTGTTTTCCTGCAGCAACATGTCAGTGAACAGGCTGTGAATGACTGAACAGCTGATTTAAACAAACAAAGCAGCAGAAGGAAAACAGCTGACAGTCAGTGACGTGTGGGGCGGCCATGTTGGATTCTGAGGTCAGGAAAGTTCCACGAAGTTTTTCCAAGTTCAAACATGGAAATGACAACTTCAAACAGAAAGCATCAAAACATGGTACAGTGTGTGTGTGTGTGTGTGTGTGTGTCCAGTACACACAGCCTGTTGAGGACTCACTGTTCTTATTGTGACAAAAGCCCGGTCCCCATTGGGAGAACTACTGTTGGTGGGTCAGAGGTTTGSTTTAGGACCAAGGTGGGAATTAAGTTTAGATTTGGGGTCAGGTGTGTACCTGTGAGGTTAGGTTTATGGTAAGACATGTCCCCATAAGGATAGAAGAATAAACATGCATGTGTGTGTGAGTGTGAGAGTGTAGTGGGTGCAGTAATCCCTCTGTGTGTTATTTCAGGCTTCAGGACAGCCCTCTTCCAGCTCTGCAGGCGTGTTCATGASGTGTTGGATGTTAAAGGTCAGAGGTCACACAGGCCTCAGGCACACAGTGATTGCTTGTTTTTGTTATTGTTGTTTTTCTGAGGTGGAACTGAAACAAGATGAAGTTCAGTGACATCAGAACCACYTCTGACCTGAGAGGGAAATGAAAACTTTAGAGCTTCAAGTCACTAATTATTAATTAGACCGAAAGAAAACCAGATAAACTGAATGACAGACGTCTGGAAGCTTCAACTTCCTGTCTGTGGTACAAACATTTCCTGTCTGTGGTACAAGCACTTCCTGTCTGTGGTACAAGCACTTCCTGTCTGTGGTACAAACACTTCCTGTCTGTGGTTCAAACACTTCCTGTCTGTGGTTCAAACACTTCCTGTCTGTGGTACAAACACTTCCTGTCTGTGGTACAAACACTTCCTGTCTGTGGTACAAACACTTCCTGTCTGTGGTACAAAAACTTCCTGTCTGTGGTACAAACACTTCCTGTCTGTGGTACAAACACTTCCTGTCTGTGGTA